GATTGCAATTGATGAGCTCGAGACTGGGAAAGGAATGAACCAAATTGGCACCTTACAACGTGCTGGTGATACTCGTTGGGGTTCTCATTTGAAATCAATTACTAGCTTGGTAAATATGTTTAGTGCAACATGCATAGTTCTAATTAATATAATTGATAACGGAACTACTTATTCTCAACGAGGAGATGTTGATGCGGCTTATGAGGCAATGACTTCATATGAATTTGTCTTTATCTTACATCTAATGAAAGAAGTTATGGAGATCACTAATGATCTTTGTCAAGCTTTGCAATGTCAATCCCAAGACATCATAAATGCCATGAATCTTGTTTCTTCCACTAAAGCACTCATCCAAGAATTAAGAGATGATGGATGGGATTCTTTGCTTACCAAGGTGAATTCTTTTTGTGAAGCACGGAACATAGATATACTAGATATGAATGCTCGTTATGTTGCAAGACGAGGTAGAGCTCGCCATCAACAAGATGATTTTACGATTAAGCATTATTATATGATAGATATTTTTTATGCTACAATAGATTCTCAACTTCAAGAATTAAATAGCAGATTTAGTGATCAAACAACAGAGCTGCTTATTATGGGGTCGGCTTTGGATCCTCGTGAAGTGAATAAATCTTTTAGGATTGATGATATTTGTCAATTGGTAGATAAGTTCTATCCACAAGACTTTGAAGATCATGAGAAGATAGGTTTGAGAAGACAACTTCAACATTTTGAGAGTGACGTCGTTAGACTTCCAGAGTTCAAAAACTTGTCAACAATTTCTGATCTATCTCAATGGATGGTAACGACTAGAAGATCAACGACATATCCACTTGTTTATAGAGTGGTTGTTCTTGTGCTTACTCTTCCTGTTTCTACAGCAACTGCAGAGCGATCATTTTCTGCTATGCGTATAGTAAAAACTAGGCTCCATAACAAGATGGAAGACGAATTTCTCACAGACTCTTTGATTATGTACATTGAAAGGGAAATTGCAGAAAAGTTTAGCGTTAACTCAATCACAGATGGTTTTCGAGATATGAAAGAACGACGAGTGTTATTTTGATACCTAATTGAATAAACAATTATTTTTTGCCTTTAATTTTTCCAAACATTGTTAAGGTTGAAAATTTGAAATTTTTTAATGTCTTGTTTGGTTTATATATTGGCCCCCCAACACATAAATTCCTGGCTCCGCCACTGCTGCTGCGTTCACCTGGGTCAAGCGAATCTCTGAGAACAACGCTCCAACCCATTTGCTGTACTAAATCATGCATCCACAATCTGTTTCCTTCAATAACTTTAACTAGACATTTTTCCTTGAGGACCCTGATACCGCTTTCTGGATAAAAGTCACAAGCGTCCAAAATATTAAATACATGATCGTGATCCTCTCCTTTGAAGAAACATGCAATGTCCAAAAAGATTTGCTTCTCGGTTTTGTCTAATCCATCATAACTTATTCGAAGCACGTTAATAATGTTGTCATCAGGATGTTCCTTCAGTTTAGCTAATTCACTCTCCCATTCACCTAGCTCTCTTCCAGACAAGGCGTAACCCAGAACTTCAAGAGCTAAAGGGAGGCCACTGGCATATTTGACAACACCCTTGGACAGATTTGTGTAGTCATCAGCCATCTTGTGGCCTTTCTTGAAGGCTTTCTTACAGAAGAGCTGAAAGGCTTCTTCATCATTCAGTTTCTCAACCTCATATATGTGGTGCACTCCATATGCCTTCAACAAGTGCTCATTTCTAGTTGTTATAATGATTCTGCTCCCTGGACCCAACCAATCCATTCCAACTAAATCTTCTATTTGTTTTTGATGATCAACATCATCCAAAACGATAAGCACCTTTTTAGAAGGCAATCGTCTGCTCAATGAATTCATTCCCATATGGACGTTATGTATGTCATCCCCGCTATAGAGCAGTTTTTTGAAAAGAACTTTCTGCAAGGAAACTACTAGATCATAGTTTTTAGATTTGTCTTTGACATTGCCAAGAAAGCAGCTAGCTTGAAACTGGTTGCAGATATTATTAAACACTAGTTGCGCCAGAGTTGTCTTGCCAATGCCCCCCATCCCCCAAATCCCTATGGTGCGAACATCATCATGCTTCTTCAAATCCAAGAACGCCTCCATTTTCTCTATACGAGAATCCATTCCAATTAAACGGTCGTCGCTATCACTTGGCGTCATGGAGGTCAAGATATTTGAAATCTTGTTAGCTATTTCTTGAATAACTTCTGATTCACCCCTGCAAATAGACAGGACCTACTCAACACACTCAGCCAGCAGCAAGTGCTCAACACACCCATATATAACTTCAAGACCAGCCAGAGACAGCTTGGCAAGGATAGCTTGCCGTGAGCATGTATATATGGTCTTACTTGATGGTATAAAACCATTGGGTTTACACAATTTTAAAGAGCGTGAATTGATATGCTTTAGGGATTATTAATGGAATATTATTTGTTTATCCAAATTTTATAGCTTTTCAGTTTAATTCTCATTCTCAGAGAGCAAACATGTGCCTTTCTTAGATACTAGCCTCTCGGCACGTGTTTCCGCTGCCAAAGTTTTTTTTTAAAAAAAATTAAAATTAATTTTAGAATTAAAAAAGATAGTGGATAGTTGTGTTCCATAAAAATGGGATCCATTATCTAATTTTTCTTTTAATTTTTTTTTTTAAATATGAAAAAGTGTGAATTTGCCATTTATCCTCATTTAATTAATAATTTCAATTCTTAATGTTTGCATTAACTAATGGCATTTTCTAGTATTTTGAATGTTTTACCATTCTCTGAATTTTGTTTTATATATATAGATTAGTGATCTAACAAGTAAATAGTTGCAAAATGTGGATAATATATTAAATTTCTTTCTAATCTTGGTTATAACTTTGGTTTTTTTTTTCTTTTGTAATCTTGGTTAATTCGCACCTGTTGGTCGGGTGATTTCATATGTCCGTTATTGCTGACAATTTTTTTTTTTGGGGTATGCGAAGGTGCATCAAGCAAGCATAAAAGCATTGAAAATATTCGTAATTTAAATTTTAGTGTACAAAGTGCATTGAATCTAGAATTTAAAATTATTTTTCCTTATACCTCAAAAGAAAAAATCGATATAAAAAATACTTAATAAATATCTAGACCTAAATATAAAAAAAGTCAATACGCCTAAACCAAAGAAAAAAGAGAGAACGCTTTGGATCCCGTCGTATCTTCGGTGTTCTTCAGCTTTTGGTTGACCTATGTTGATATAATATTTTTTTTGACAGATATATTGTCTCATATTTGGGCTGGCTTTGGTTGTGCCTCATCTAGCGAGGTTGCCCCTTGAGGTGTTTCAACTTTTTCATGGTAGATCCACTACTCATTAGTGCGTTGTTGAGGCCTTGAAGTAACTAGGTGGTGCTCTCTATAGACCATATGTCATGCCCAGAAGGAAAGATTAGCAGCGGTTGATGTTCCTTTTGCCAACGTTGTTTTAGTTTTTTTTTTTTTTTTTTTTTTTTTTTTTTGTTTTTTTTCTTTTGGGTTTAGTTCGTTCAATAAAGTCTAGAAACTCTATGAGTTTTGTGTGTTATTTCCCTCTAGTGATTCTAGAAATTTAGTTGAGTTTGTTGGGTGTTCTTAGTCTCTTTAAGAGAGCGATGCCGTTAGCAGCTAGTTTTTGTCTTTGATGTCATTAGACTAGATTTTGGGAAATAATTATGACGTTTGAAAGAGGTTTTAGAAAAATTATTTTCGAGTGTGATTGTCTCCAGATTGTTACAGTATGTGTCCTTTGAACTTTTTATTTTTATTGATCTAATAAAATTCTATCCAATTTTTTATACATAAAAATAAAATAAAATAAAAAATCATGTTAAGATTAAAAGCCTCTTAACAAATTAATTAATGTGCCAAACATCACCTTCAAGTTTCAATATTTTGATCCAGCAAAAAAAAAAAAAAAAAAAAGGTTCCTATATTTTGTTACTGGGCATATATAAGATTAAAGTTTCAAACAATTGAAGAAGTTAATTGGGTACCTGGCTTTATCCAAATCCCATCCGCTGATAATGGCTATTTCCGTTAAAGCTTTCCTCCACTTGCCCACCTCCCCAAGTACGGTCTTTTCTTCATGTTTGGCAAAGGCCTGGCTAAAGCTTCCAGTTTGATTTCTCACCTCGGATGGTTTGACGTGGTAGAAAACCGGAAAAACTTGGAGTTCCCTCTTTTTCATGCATTCTACAATATGTGCAAGTTCATCCATACACCACGTTGAAGAAGCATACTCTTTTGAAAGAATGACGACTGCAAACCTCGATTCCTCAATTGCTTTCGAAAGTTCTGGGCCGATGAATGTTCCTCTTTTCAGTTTTTCATCATCCCTAAAGGTATCAATTCCTCTCTGGTTCAAAGCATGGTATAAATGGTCCGTAAAACTATTTCGGGTGTCCTCACCCCTAAAACTGAGAAACACATCATGTACCCATATTTTAGGGGTTGAAGAAGCGGATGATGGCATCATTTCGGTGTTGGTGCAATCGAATCAAAACTGATGCAGTAGGTCGTACAAGAAAAGTAAGCGACGGAGAAGAAGAAGATCGAGCACGAAGAAAAAAAGAGGGAGGAGCAAGAGGATGAAGATGAAACAATGATGTTGATCGATGGATGGCAATGAAAACTTAAGGAGGGAGCTGAATGATCATTGCTTTGGATCGAAGGACCAAGTAAATTATTATGTCTAGTTAATTTAACATTATTTTATGACTAAACATGTTCATTTATTCGCCAGCTGTCCCGAAGATTATGCATAATCAATTGCCAATCAAGTGATATATATATATATATATATATATATATAACATTTTATATTGGAAATACAATCAAAGGATGCTGATCATGTTACACATGATCAAATATTATATTGCCAGGTGTTACAAAAAATATTAATACTAGGTTTTTCTTTTCGTTGACAATAGTGTAGTCTTTAAAAAATATTTGCAGCATGAACCATATACTAGGCAACAAAAGAAAAGAAAAAAGAAGAATCTTGGACACCTCTTCAATCGATCGCACCAAACAGTAGTCCAGCGACTGAAACACCCTACAAGAGAAAAACTTCAATTTTGAGACCTTCGGGAAGGGAAAAATGACATACTCACAAGCAAGCATTTATATGCACCTTTCAAAGAAATTGCAACCCATAAATTTGGGTTAGGCTAGTTGGCTGTGACAATAAATCTGCCACAATAGCTTCAAGCTTAATTATTAGTTAATTGATTTTACGTGAGACCAATGTGTTGCGTATATTAGAGCAAGTCCAATGTGTTAATTGAGTTTTTTTTTTTTTTGGTTTGAACCACGAGGTGGTCCTGGATGGGCCCCAACTATGGGTGGCACCTTTAAGCCTTAACCACAACCCAGACTAATCCCCGCTCACACCGGGTCGGCCCGTAAGGGGTAAAGTGCTGGCCAAAGTGGTGACTCCATACGAGAGCAGGGATCGAACCCCTGACCTTCTCTTAAGGAATGAGAGTGCCGAACCACTCACACCAACCACCTTGGTGTTAATTGAGTTTTTGACTCTCATCAAATACATACATTCAATGATTTCCCAACTTTAATTAATATAGGGTTTTTATCACAAATGATTCTTGAGGTTTGTGAAATTATCCATTTTGGTTTTTTTTTTCATGCCATTAGGTTCAATCTGTTAGATTGCTGACATGGGTAGAGAAAAAACGGAGGGTGAGAGAGAGGAAGAGAGGGAGAAAGGGAGGGAGCGGGGCGGGG